TATTCCCCTTTCTTTCCTATTCCTTTTTCTTTCCTATTCCCCTTTCTTTCCTATTCCCCCTTTTCTTTCCCCCCTTTCTTTCCCTATTCAATTTTCTTTCCTATTCCCTTTCTTTCCTGTTCCATTTTTCTTTCTTTCCCTTTAAAAGAACATTTCCTTTTCCTTTTTTTCTTTTTTTCCCCTTTCATTCCTTTTCCCCTTTCTTTCCTATTCCTTTTTCTTTTTCCTTTCCTCTTTCCTATTCCTTTTCTTTCCTATTCCTTTTTTTTTTCCCTCCTTTTCCCCTATTCCTTTTCTTTTTCTTCCTTTTCTTTCCTATTCCTTTTTTCCTTTCCCCCTCTTTCCCTATTTCCTTTTTTCCTCTTCCCTTTCTTTCCTATTCCTTTTCTTTTTTCCTCTCTTTCTATTCCTTTTTCCTTCCCTTTCTTTCACTATTCCTATTTTCTTTTTTTTCCTTTTTTACTTTTCCTTTTCCTTTTTCCTCTCTTTCACTGTTCCTTTTCCTTTTCCCCTTTCTTTCCTATTCCCCTTTTCCTTTTTTATTCCCTTTACTTTCCTTTCCCCTTTCTTTCCTATTTCCCTATTCCTTTTCCTATTCCCCTCTTTCTTTCCTTTTCCTTTTCTTTCTCTTTCCCTTTCTTTTCATTTTTCTTTCCTTTTTTCCTTTTCCTTTTCCCTCTTTAAACTATTCCTTTTCGTTTTCTTTCGAAATTCTTTTTTTTTTTTTTATTCCCCCTTTCTTTCCTATTCCTTTCTTTTTTTTTTCCCTCTCTTTACTATTCCCTTTTCTTTTTATTCCCTTTTCTTTTTCCTATTCCCCTTTCTTTCCTATTCCTTTTCTTTTTATTATATTTCTTATATATTCCTTTTCTTATCTTTTCCCCTTTCTTTCCTATTCCTTTTTTTCCTATTCCCCTTTCTTATTCCCTTTTCTTTTCCCTTTTCCCCTTTCTTTTTTCCTTTTCCCCTTTCTTTCCTATTCCTTAGGCATTTTTTTCCCCTTTCTTTCCCTATTCCTTTTTCTTTTTATTCCCCTTTTTCTATTCCTTTTCTTTTTTCCTCTCTTTCCATTCCTTTTCCTTTTCCTCTCTTTCTTTTTTTCCTTTTCTTTTTTCTTCCGTTTCTTTCCTATTCCTTTTCTATTCCCCTCTTTGAACTATTCTAACTTTCCTTTTCTTCCTTTCTTTTCAATTTTTCCCTTTTATTTTTTTTTTTATTTTTCCTATTCCCTTTTCTTTCCTATTATTTATTTCTTTCCTATTTATTTTTTCTTATATAAATTATTCCTTTTATTTTTTTCCTCTCTTTCCCTGATGGATTTTTTTTTTTGTCTCTTTCTATTCCTTTTCCTTTTTTCTCTTTCACTATTACCTTTTCCTTTTTTTCCTCTCTTTCCCTTTCTTCCTTTTGTTTTTTCCGTCTCTCTTTTCACTATTGATTTTTCCTTTCTTTCCTTTTGGTTTAAACTAGTTTCCATTTTTTTCCATTTCTCTTTTCCTATTCCTTTGAATTTCTTCGTCTCTTTCACTATTCCTTTTCCTTTTCCTCTCTTTGACTATACCTTTTCCTTTTTTACCTCTCTTTGACAATTCCTTTTCCATTGACCCCTCTTTCAACTATTCCTTTTCATTTTCTCCCGTCTCTTTCAGTATTCCTTTTTCCTTTTCCCTCTATTTCACTATTCCTAAATGTTTTTCTTCCGTAAAAAAAAAAATTTTTATTTTCCTTTTTCCTCTCTTTCACTATAAAAGAATTTTTCCCTCTCTTTCACTATTCCTTTTCATTTTCTTCCGTCTCTTTCAATTATTCTTTTTCCTTTTTTCCCTCTCTTAACTATTCCTTTTCCCTTTTCCCTCTTTTTCTGGTTCCTTTTCGTTTTTTTTCGTCTCTTTCACTATACCTTTTCCATTTTTCCCTCTCTTTCACCTTTCTTTTCATTTTTCTTCCCTCTCTTTCCTATTCCTTTTCCTTTTTTCCCTCTATTTCACTATTCCTTTTCCATTTTTACCCTCTCTTTCACTATTCCTTTTCGTTTTCTTCCGTCCCTTTCACTATTCCTTTTTCTTTTTTTTCCCTCTCTTTCACTATTGCTTTTCATTTTCTTCGTCTCTTAAACTATTCCCTTTTCCTTTTTCCCTATACTTCACTATTCCTTTTCATTTTCTTCCGTCTCTTTCACTATTCTTTTTTCTTTTCCCTCTGTTTCCTATTCTTTTTCATTTTCCCTCTCTTTCACTATTCCTTTTCGTTTTCTTCCGTCTCTTTTCCCTTTTTTTTTCCTTTTTCCCTCTCTTTTCCACTTTATTCCTTTTCGTTTTCTTCCATCTTTTCACTATTCCTTTTCCTTTTTTCCCTCTCTCTTTCCCTATTTCTTTTCATTTTTTCGTCTCTTTCACTATTCCTTTTCCTTTTTACCCTCTCTTTCACTATTCCTTTTCCTTTTTCCCTTCTCTTCCCCATTCCTTTTCCATTTTTTTTTCTCTTTCACTATTACTTTTTCCTTTTCCCTCTCTTTCACTATTCCTTTCCATTTTTTCCCTCTCTTTTCTCTCTTTCACTTTTCTTTCGTTTTCTTCCGTCACTTTCCTATTCCATTTCCATTTTCCCTCTCTCTTTCACTATTCCTTTTCATTTTTTTCGTCTCTTTCACTTTTCATTTTCCTTTTTCCCTCTCTTTCACTATTCCCCTTTTCTTTTTCCCTCTCTTTCACTATTCCTTTTCATTTTTCTTCCATCATTTCACTATTCCTTTTCCTTTTTTTCCTCTCTTTCACTATTCCTTTTCATTTTTTCCCTCTCTTTCACTATTCCTTTTCCATTTTCCCCTCTCTTTCACTATTCCTTTTCTTTTTTTTTTTTCGTCTCCTTCACTATTCCTTTCCTTTTTCCTCTCTTTCACTATTCCTTTTTTTTTTTCCCTCTCTTTCACTATTCCTTTTCCTTTTTTCCCTCTCTTTCACTATTCCTTTTCTTTTTTTCCCTCTCTTTCACTATTCCTTTTCCTTTTCCCTCTCTTTTTTCCTTTTCATTTTTTCTTTCACTATTCCTTTTCCATTTTTCCCTGGCTTTCCTATTTCTTTTCGTTTTCTTCTTTTTCCTTTCTCTTTCTATTCCTTTTCTTTTTTTCTTTTCCGTTTTCTTTTCCCTTTTCCTATTCCTTTTCCATTTTTTCCCTCTCTTTCCTTTTATTCTTTCCTCTTTTTTCCTATTCCTTTTCCTTTTCCTTTTCTCTTTTCTTTTCTTTTCTCTTTCTTTTTTCTTTCTTTTTCACTATTCTTTTCATTTTTTCCTTTTTCCTATTTTTTCTTTTTTTCTCTCTTTCACTATTCCTTTTCGTTTTTCCTCTCTTTTCCTATTTTCTTCCTTTTCTTTTTTTCCCCTCTTTCACTATTCCTTTTCCATTTTTTCCCTCTCTTTCTTTTTATTCCTTTCGTTTCTTCCCTCTCTTTCACTATTCCTTTTCTTTTGTTTCCCTCTTTCATTTATTCCTTTTCTCTTTTTTTTCTCTCTTTCACTATTACTTTTTCATTTTTTTCCTCTCTTTCACTATTCCTTTTCTTTTTCCCTCTCTTTCACTATTCCTTTTCCTTTTTCCCTCTCTTCTTTTTTCATTTCTTATTCCTTTTCCGTTTTTCTTCCTTCTCTTTCCCTATTCTTTTCCTTTTTCCCCTCTTTCACTATTCCTTTTCATTTTCTTCCGTCTCTTTCACTATTCCCTTTTCCTCTTTTCCCCTCTCTTTCACTATTCCTTTTCTTTTTTTTCCAAACTCTTTTACTATTCCTTTTCTTTTTCCCTCTCTTTCCATTATTCCTTTTCCATTCTTTCGTCTCTTTCACTATTCCTTTTCCTTTTTCTTCCTCTCTTTCTCTATTCCTTTTCGTTTTTTCCCGTCTCTTTCCTATTCCTTTCCATTTTTTCCCTCTCTTTCACTATTTCCTTTTCTACTTTTTTCCGTCACTTTCTTTTCCTTTTTCCTTTTTCCCTCCTTTTATTATTTTTTTTTTTTCTTTTCTCTTTTTCTTCCGTCTTTTCTACTATTCTTTTTCCTTTTTCCTCTCTTTCTATTATTCCTTTTCCTTTTTCCCTCTATTTCGTTTTCTATTCCTTTTTTCTTTTTTTTTTGTCTCTCTCACTATTTACTTTTCCTTTTCCCTCTTTTCACTATTTTTCCTTTTTCCATTTTCCCCTCTCTTTCCTGTCTTCTTTCACTTTTCTTTTTCTTTCCGTCCTTTCCCTATTCCTTTTCCATTTTCCCTCTCTTTTCACTATTCCTTTTCGTTTTCTTCCGTCTCTTTCACTTTTCCTTTTCCTTTTTCCCCTCTTTCACTATTCCTTTCCTTTTTCCCTCTCTTTCACTATTATTTTCGTTTTCTTCTGTCTCTTTCCTATTCCTTTTCCTTTTTTCTCTTTCTTCATTTTTCTTTTTCTTTTCTTTTCACTATTCCTTTTCCTTTTTCCCTCTCTTTCACTATTCCTTTTCATTTTTTTCCCTCTCTTTCCTATTCCTTTTCCTTTTTTCCCTCTCTTTCTATTTTTTCCTTTTCTTTTTTTCTTCCGTCTCTTTCACTATTCCTTTTTTCCTTTTTTCCCTCTCCTTCTCTATTCCTTTTCCATTTTTTTCCCTCTCTTTCACTATTCCTTTTGTTTTCTTCCGTCTCTTCACTATTCCTTTCCTTTTTTCCCTCTCTCTTTCCTGTTTCCTTTTCGTTTTTTCCCTCTCTTTCACTATTCCTTTTTCTTTTTTTCCCTATATTTCACTATTCCTTTTCCTTTTTACCTCTCACTTTCCACTATTTTTTCATTTTCTTCTATCTCTCTCACCCTATTCCTTTTCCTTTTTTCCTCTCTTTCACTATTCCTTTTCCTTTTCCCTCTCTTTCACTATTCTTTTTCTTTTCTTCCCTCTCTTTCACTATTCCTTTTCCATTTTTCCTCTCTTTCATTATTCCATTTCTATTTTCTTCTTTTTCCTCTTTTCACTATTCCTTTTCCTTTTTTCCTCTTTCACTATTCCTTTTCCATTTTCCTCTCTTTCCTGTACGTTTTGGTTTTTCTTCAGTCTCTTTTCACTCTTTCCTTTTCGTTTTTTCCCTCTCTTTCACTATTCCTTTTCATTTTTTTTCCCTCTCTTCACTATACCTTTTCGTTTTCTTCCTTTTCTCTTTTCCCTATTCCTTTTCCATTTTTTTCCCTCTTTCACTATTCCTTTTCGTTTCTTCCGTCTCTTTCACTATTCCTTTCCTTTTTCCTCCTTTCACTATTCCTTTTCATTTTTTCCTCTCTTTTCACTATTCCTTTTCCTTTTTTCCCTCTCTTTCACTATTCCTTTTCGTTTTCCGTTTTCTCCCGTCTCTTTTTTCCCTGTCTTTCCTTTTCCTTTTTTACTCTCTTTCACTATTCCTTTTCATTTTCTTCCGTCTCTTTCACTATTCCTTTTCCATTTTTTTCCTCTCTTTTCTTTATTCTTTTCCATTTTTCCTCTCTTTCACTATTCCTTTTCGTTTTCTTCCGTCTCTTTTCCCTTCCTTTTCCTTTTTCCCTCTCTTTCCATTTTTTTCCTTTTCCATTTTCCCTCTCTTTCACTATTCCTTTTTTTCGTTTTTCTTCGTCTCATTTTTCTTTTCTTTTCGTTTTTTCCGTCTCTTTTCACTATTCCTTTTCCATTTTTTCCTCTTTCTTTCGTTTTCTTTCATTTTTCATTTTTTTTCTCTTTTCCTTTTCCTTTTTTCCCTCTCTTTCACTATTCCTTTTCGTTTTCTTCCGTCTCTTTCACTATTCCTTTTCCTTTTTTCCCTCTCTTTCACTATTCCTTTTCGTTTTCTTCCGTCTCTTTCACTATTCCTTTTCTTTTTTCCCTCTCTTTCCCTATTCCTTTTCATTTTTCCCTCTCTTTCACTATTCATTTTCCTTTTTTTCCTTTCTTCCGTCTCTTTCTTCCTTTTCTTTTCTCTATTCCTTTTCTTTTTCTTCCGTCACTATTCCTTTCCTTTTCCATTTTTCCTCTCTTTCACTATTCCTTTTCCTTTTTCTTTCTCTTTCCTTCCTTTTCCTTTTTCCCTCTCTTTCACTATTATTTTCGTTTTTTTGTTTTCTTTTCCGTCTCTTTCACTATTCCTTTTCCTTTTTCCCTCTCTTTCACTATTCCTTTTCTTTTTCCTCTCTTTCACTATTCCTTTTCATTTTTTTCCCTCTCTTTCACTTTCCCTTTTCGTTTTCTCCCGTCTCTTCCTTTTCCTTTATTCCTTTTCCTTTTTTTCTTCCTCTCTTTCACTATTCTTTTCATTTTTTCCCTTTTTTCTATTCTTTTTCGTTTTTCTCTTTCACTATTCCTTTTCGTTTTCCCCTCTCTTTTCACTATTCCTTTTCTATTTTTCCCTCTCTTTCACTATTCCTTTTCTTTTTCTTCCGTCTCTTTCACTATTCCTTTTCCTTTTTCCTCTTCCTTTTCCTTTCCATTTTCTTCCTTCTCTTTCCTATCCTTTTCCTTTTTCCTTTCTTTTTCTTTATTCCTTTTATTTTTTCGTCTCTTTCACTATTCCTTTTCATTTTTCTGTCTCTTTTACTATTCCTTTTGTTTTTTTCTTTTCTTTCTATTCCTTTTCATTTTTCCCTCTCTTTTTCTTTTCTTTTTCCATCTTTACCCTTTCTTTCATTTTTCTCTTTCTCTTTTCCTTTTCATTTTCTTTCTTTCACTTTCCTTTCCATTTCTCTTTCACTATTCCTTTTCCTTTTCCCTCATTTTTCTTTCTTCCACTTTTCCTTTTTTTCGTTTTCTTCCGTCTCTTTCACTATTCCTTTTCCTTTTTCCCTCTTCTTTCTTTTCCATTATTCC